GTCAATTTTTGTGTAGGTGCCATATACCACTAAGGAAAAGGTATATTCCTTTCTATCCCCATTCAGTTTTCTCCAGAGATCAACCATGTTTAACTTTTCTAAAATTCTATTTGTCTCCTTAATTTCTTTCTTGTTTATTTTGTGGTTAGATTTATCCAGTTCTAAGAAGGGGAGACTGAGGTCCCCCTCTAGTATAGTTTTGCTGTCTATTTCTTCCTGTAACTCCCTTAACTTCTCCTCCTCTAGGAATTTGGGTGCTATACCACTTGGTGCATATATGTTTAGTAATGATATTACTTCATTATCTATGGTACTGTTTACCAGGATGTAGTTTCCTTCCTTATCTCTTTTATTTAGATCTATTTTTGCTTTTGCTTTGACTGAGATCAGGATTGCTACCTCTGCTTTTTTTTACTTCAGTTGAAGCATAATATATTCTGAGGTTATAGAACCAGATGTGGGTAGCATTTTCCTTTTAGCCTTTTACCTTTATTCTGTGCATATCCCCCTGCTTCAAATGTATTTCTTATAAACAACATATTGTAGGATTATGGTTCTTAATCCACTCCTTTTCTTTTTCCTTTCCCCTCCTACTTCTTATAGGGTAAGTTAGATTTCTGTACCTAACTGATTGTTATTCCCTCTTTGAACCAAATCTGATGAGAGTAAGGTTCAAACAATGCTCATCTCTCTCCCTTCTTTCCCTCTGCTGTATTAGGTTTTTGTGCCTTTCCATGTGATATAATTTACCCTTGTCTGCCCCCTCCTTTCCTCTTTTCCCAAGTATAATTCCTTTTCACCACTTAGATTTTTTACCGTCACATGAGTCAACTTATACCCATGCCCTCTGTCTAAGTATACCGCTTTTAAATGTCATAATAACATTACAAGTGTCATCTTCCCTTGTAGGGATGTAAACAGTTTGCTCTTATTAATAACAGTTTTTTTTTCTTTCCTGTTTACCTTTTTATGCTTCTCTTGAGTCTTGTATTTGAAAGTCAAATTTTCTGTTGAGCTGTGGTCTTTTCACAGGAAGGTTTAGAAGTCCTCTATTTTGTTGAATGTCCATCTCCTCACCTGAAAGATTATGCTCAGTTTCACTGAATAGTTGATCCTTATTTGTAATCTAAGCTCCTTTGCCTTACAGAATATTGTTTTCCACATCCTCCAATCTTTTAATGAAGAAGCTGCAAGGTCCTGCATAATCCTGACTGCGGTTCCATGATATTTAAATTGTTTCTTTCTGGCTGCTTGCATTATTTTCTCTTTGATCTAGTAATTTTGGAATTTGGCTACAATATTCCTTGGCGTTTTCAATTCTAAATCTCTTTCAGGAGGTGATCAGTGGATTCTTTTGATGACTAATTTACCCTCTGGTTCTAAGACCTCAGGGCAGTTTTCTTTGACCTTGTCAAGGTTCTTTTTTTCATCATGGTTTTCAAGTGGACCAATAACTTTTAAATTGTCTCTCCTAGATCTGTTTTCCAGGTCGGTTGTTTAACCAATGAGGTATTTTACGTTTTCTTCTGTTTTTTCATTCTTTTATTTCTGTTTGACTGATTCTTGCTCTCTCATAGAGTCATTAGCTCCCACTTGCCCCATTCTAATTTTTAATGAATTGTTTTCTTCTACTAGATTTTGTACTTCCTTTTCCATTTAGCCCATTTTACTTTCTAAGGAGTTCTTCTCTTCAGGGAGTTTTTGTGCCTCCTTTTCCATTTGGCCAATTCTACTTTTTAAAGACTTGTTTTCTACAGTTAATTTTTGTCCTTCCTTTTCCAAGCTATTGACTCCTTCTTGCATACTTCTAATTTCTTTTCCCAGTTTTCCTTTTACCTCTTTTATTTCACTTTTTAAATCCTTCTTGAGCTCTTCCAAGAAGGCTTTTTGGGCTTGAGACCAGTTCATATTCCCCTTTGAGGTTTTGGATGTGGGTATATTGATAATGTTGTCCTCTTCTGAATTTGTGCCTTGATCTACCCTTTCCCCCTAATAAGAATCTATGGTCATTGTCCATTTCTGCTTTTATGTGTGGTGTTTACCTATTTCCTGACTTAAAAATAAAAAAGTTGAGCTCTCCTGCTGGAGTGAAGGGGACACTTACCCAAGCTTCTTTTCCTGCTCACCAAGGCCTTGTGCTTGAAGGTTTGGCTCCTGCTCACCTGGGCCTTGCACGGGGATGTTTTGCTACTGGTGGATGTCTGTCAGCCTTGAGTTTTGCCTCCTAAAGTTGTGCTTCCCAGAACTGTATTGAGGCACCAGGTGATTTGGCTGCTGGAGAACACCATCACCTGTGGTGGTTTTCTGAGCTGGTGTCTACTGGTTTCCCTGCCTGTATTGAGGCTCTTGTGGGGTCTTGGTGTTGGCACTTGCCTGCTCAACCAACCTAGGTCTCAGTATCTTTCCCTGGTATGCTTAGGTGGGGCTTGCTGGGACACCTCCCATCATGTATTGCTTCCCCCAGAGCTAGAGGGGCCTTTCCCATTAATCCTCCAAAGTTCCTGGGCTACAAGACTGCAGTGCCCTGTAGTTTTGCTGGCTCAGGATTTTTCCTGGGTCGATATTTTATGGACTTTCAAAGGTCAATAAGGGAGCAACTTACTCCACCATCTCCCTAAACCCAGAACCCTAAAAAATGTTCACTACAATATACCTGGTTAACTCATCCACCCTTTGCTTGAACATTTCTTTTGAAGGAGAACCCACTACCTCCCAAGACAGGCCATTCCAATTTTGGATAGCTCTCACTATAAAGAATTTTTTCCTTACAGAAAACCTAAATTTGCCTCTTTTATACTTCTACCCATTGAGCTTGGTTTTACCCTCTAGAACCAAATATAACAAGTACAATCCCTCTTCCAAATGACAACCTTTCAAGTACTTGAAGACAACTATCATGGATCCCCAAGTCTTCTCCAGGCTGAACATTCCCACTTCCTTCTACTGTTCTTCAGGGAGCATTACATCAAGGAGGTTCACTATCCTGATTACCCTACTCTGAATACTCTGCACCATCTTTCTTCTATTTTTTTATTTGTTTTGGAGGCAATTGGGATTAAGTGACTTGCCCAGGGTGACAAAGCTAATAAATATCTAAAGCCAGATTTGAACTTAGGTCTTCCTGAGTTCTATCCACTATCCACAGTTCAGGTATTCTATCCACTGCACCATCTAGGCGCCCCTCCAGCAGTGTCTTTCTTAAACTGTGGGGGCCACCTCCAGTCGTCCTGATCTATATCTTGCCACTAGACCCAAATGGCTCAGGAGGAGAAAGTGAGGCTGGTGACTTTGCACAGCCCTCCCTCACTCACTTAAATCCAATTCACTTGAAAGTCATGGCATCGCTTTCTTGATGTCATGGTCCTCTTCTAGAATGCAGGACAAACAACAACAACAACCTTAAACTGTTTTGCCCATAACTGAAGACGATACTCCAGGTGTAATCTGATACAAAGTATTACCTCTTTAATATGGGACACTGTACGTAACTTAATGCAGCCTAACATCATGTAGTTGTTTTTTCTTCACCATGCCATGATTTTGACTTAGATTGAGCTTATGGTCCACTAAACCCCTCCCCCAGACCATTTTCAGACAGACTGCTGTCTAACCACACCTTTCCTAATTTGTGCTTAAAGTTATTTTTTTTTAACCTTAGCTACAGACTTGAAATTTAATAAGGACAAGTACAATTTTATTACGTTCAGCCAAATGTTAAAATTATTAAGGATCCTGGATCTGTCATCTGGTGTGTTTGCTAGCTCTTCTAGTTTTATCAGTACAGATCTGAGATGAATACTATCAACTAGTTCATTGATTAAAAATATGAAACAGCATAAGACCAAGCACAGATCCCTAGGGCATTCCAATAGAGATCTCATTGCAAGTTAACATCAAACTAAGGCCTCAAAAAGTCTTTGAGTAACAATTCAACCACTTCCAAATCCATCTGATTGTTCCAGCATCTTGTTCATGTCTCTCCATCTATTCCACAAAAAGCACATGCTATGGACCTTATCAATTGCTTTGCTAAAATCTAGGGAAATTATATTCATACCATTTCTTGGGATCTACCCTTTTGCAGCTATCAAAAAGGGAGATAAAGTTAGTCTGGTATGACCTGTTTTTTGCTAAGGAGCTATTGGTTCCTTAGGATCACAGCTTTCTTTCCTAGATACTCGCTAATAATTTCTTTAATAATATGTTCTAGAATTTTGTTGTAGTAAACAGTTTCATGAGTTGCTGTGGCCAAAATTTCTATCCCCTAGTAGCCAATCTTCTGATAACAAGCATTTCTGAACTTAGGTAAGCTGATCCTGGGTGGCTAGATACACAGTCCATAGCTGAGTCTATACTGAAGGCCTTTACACCTCAGGAGGAAACTGAATGAGCTTCCATTCATTGCTGGCATATGTTTAAGAACCCAACATCACCTCTGGCATAATAAGAATCTGTAGAGAATGCTAAAATCAATTAAATTATGTATTGCTTCACAGATGTGAAGTCACAGCTTACAGGCCAGGAATGGTGCTTCTGTGTAATATATTTATGGAATAGAATTAAATGCACAGTTTATTATTTAGATACTCTCATAATTAGAAAAATCAAAATATGTTTTATGTTAATTCATTATTGTCATTGTCAGGAAAATATCTTAATTTGCATTTTGAAGAATGGTGTTTACAAGATCTTCCAGAGATCCTTTTTTTTCTTTAAAGCTCTGGGTTGAGGGGCAGTTGGGTGATGCAGTGGATACAGCACCAGTCCTGGAGTCAGGAGGACCTGAGTTCAAATCTGACCTCAGACACATAACATTTACTAGCTGTGTGACTAGCTGTGTGACCCTGGGCAAGTCACATAACCCTACTGCCTAGCAACAAACAAACAAACAAAAAAAACAGAGCTCTGGGTTGAATTTCAAACAGTGTCCAAAGTGTAGTAAAGACCCTTTAGTAAATTAGCAGTTGGTTATTTTCAAGCTTTCTTGTACTTCCTTCTAGCTTGCCACAGTACGAAGGCTGCTTTCTGAAAAGGCCACTCAAGTAAACACCAGAGATGAAGATGAATACACACCTCTCCATCGAGCTTCATATAGTGGGCACTTAGATATTGTCCGAGAGCTGATTGCCCAAGGGGCAGATGTTCATGCAGTGACAGTAGATGGCTGGACTCCCCTACATAGTGCCTGTAAATGGAACAATACCAAGGTGGCATCCTTCTTACTTCAACATGATGCAGATATCAATGCTCAAACAAATGGCCTGTTGACCCCCTTGCATCTTGCTGCAGGAAATAGAGATGGCAAAGACACCCTAGAACTCCTTCTGATGAATCGTTACATCAAACCAGGCCTAAAAAATAACTTGGAAGAAACAGCATTTGATATTGCCAGGAGGACCAGTATCTACCACTACCTCTTTGAAATTGTAGAAGGTTGCACAAATTCTAAACTGGAGTCTTAAACATTCTGATAACTTTAATCAGTTTCTGAGTAGCCACAACTCCTTTGGATGAAATACAAACACATTCCAGAATATGAAATTTAATTCAAAGAAGATATTTTGAAAACATTCAATAGTATTTATTCTGGGTGATGGACAAATTCACTGTCAAAGAGTATATGAAAGGGCTGAGGGGTTTTCTACTATTTATGTCTATGTGGTGATTTTGTGATATGGTCAAACATAACTAGCTTACCTGTATTTTCTGTACTTTAAGTGTCATATTAAAATGTGTCATTTTGGTTATTAAACCAAATAAAATACTTTTTAAAACATCCCATATCCTGGGTCTTTATTCACTATTTAGTATGTTGAGTTTTATATTTAAAGCCTGTTAGCATAATTCTATCCAGATAAAATTTGAAATACTCATCCCTTTGTGAGATCCTATGGTTGTTATAAAATCATTGCATTGTGGTATCATGGAAAGAGCATTAGACTTCAATTAAACAAATATTTATCAAGTACCTACCACTGTGTGAAGCACTGGAGATACAGAAGCAAAAATAACAGTCACTGACCTCAGTGAATTTAATCTACTGGGTATGTGCAATATATATACATGTATTTTAATATGAAATATTTCAGCAGGGGGAGAACACTGAGAATTGGGAAAAAGAAAAGGATTCCCAGAACAGAAAATCAAACTTGAGCTTTCCTGATCAAAAACCTTCAGGGGACCCCTGTTTCCTCAGGAATAAAATGTCTTCTTAGCCTGATATTTACATAATCTGGCTCCAACCCAGACTCACTTCATATTAGCCTACTCAATACAACTTGTTTTCCAGCCAAACTATTACTAACTGCTCCCCAAACCTAACATTGCCATCTGCTACCTTCTTTGCAAAAAAAAAAAAAAAAATCCATGTCCTCTTGATTACCTCTTCCGGATTGTTATCTTCTTTGAGCTCAACTCAGGTTCTAGTTCTTTGTAGTTTTCCCTTATCCCCAGTCCTTTAACTTATCACTCCCTACCATGTAGCACCCTTGTCTGTGTATATTATTTCTTCTGCTCCCCCATTAGAATGTTAATTCCTTGAGAACAGTGACTTTATCTTTTGTCTTTGTATCTTTAACATCTACCTAGTGCCTGTCCTATGGAAGGTACTTCGTAAATGTTTGTTAAATTGATTTAAGAAAAGTCCAGAGAACACAGCTATTTTGAAGTATTTGTTCTTGCATAAACCCAGAATAAGCCTCCTAGGACAACTCCATTCCTATACTATATGCTTGCCTAATCTTCCTTTTCTGCCTCCCTTGCACAAAGATGATAGAATCATAAACGCAGACCTGGAAAAGACCTTAGTGGCCCTTATTTTAAAGATTAGACACTGAAACCCAGACAAATGAAATTTCTTGCACTGGTCACATGATAGAAAAAAAAAACACAGCAGGATTTAAATCCAGGTCCTCTACCCCCAAATCTAGCCCTTTTGCCACCAGTAGTTCCGGTGACTTTTGGAGCTGCTTTGGAATGGAATATGCCCTCTGAGAAAGAAAAAAAAAAGTATTAATACTAATGCTATACTCATATCCAAATATTTCTAGCTTGGAGAAAGAAATTCCCAACTGACATAGTCCCCAATGCCCTCCAACATGACTTTGTTGTTATCGTTAAGTTGTTCAGTTATGTCTGACTCCTTGTGATCCCCTGGATCATGCTGTCCATAGGGTTAGAGTTAGGAAGACTGGCAAAGATACTGGAATGGTTTGCCATTTCCTTCTCTAGGCCCGATCTTCCTTGCTATCCTTTTGATCTTTTCCCCTGCTAAGATCTCCAGTCTTCTAGTAAGACCCAGAGCCTTATATGATTTAAAGCTACTAAAGGAAGTGTTTTACTCTGGCATTACATAAAGCTTATCGTATATAATATACAAGGTGGCCACCAACACAGACATGAACAGATACTCATAAATACCACTTACTGTGTCTGACAAACTTGTCCTTTTCAAAAATCAGATTCCGTGAGCCTACATCAGCAAAGCTCAAGTCAGCAAGGCAACTCTACTCATAAACTCCTATATGGTTTTAAATGGTTCTTCACCTCTATTTAGTTGGCCATGAAAGTCCTTTAAAGAGAAGCAATGTAAGGCCCATGTTAACTCCTATTAAGTGTAGGAATCTAAGAAATAAAACTACCATTGAACTGTCAAAGAAAAAATTACTGATACTATACTCTGTTTTTAGGCATGTCTGCCAGAAAAAAATAATTTATTTAATTAAACATCAATCTATTCCACATATTTCTAGCTAGGAGAAAGAGATGTCCAAATCATGCTCTCTACCTTAAGATGATTTTAGGTAACATTCATAGAAATCTTGAACAAGAACAGGAAAGATATATTAAAATATGTAGAAATACACCTTGAGTAAATATTCAAGAATAGTTGAGTAACCAAGTACCCTCTCATTCCCTCCGGGATCACTACTATCACAAACAAAGGAACCTCCTCCCTTCCATGGATATCTTAATCCTTTCTCCAAGGGGAAGAATGGTTCCTAGGGCTAATCACTTCAGGTGGCTGGTAGGCTTATGATGTGTATGAAGCAAGAGTTATACTTTACTCAAAGGTAGGGTACTACCCTTAAGCCATTTTCCTAAGAAAATTGTCCTCAACATATCTAATGCACCTTTCCAAAAGATTTTTCCCAGGATTCCAGAAAAGCCTTTTTGGAGCAGAAAAATAATATTTCTTAACATTTCTAGAGAAACTAAAAAGGAGGTTTTTAATATCCATCGACACCTGTGCCTTCCCTTCTGATTTTCAGTTGTCAGGATACAACAGATTGTTGTAAAATGACACATCCCACTGTCCCTCCATAGGTCACTAAATTGTCAAAGAACCTACAAAATATAAAGCTCATTCTCTGAAAGCAGCTTCCTCTGCAGTGAATGAAGGCTTTGAGTTCATAAATTGCCATGGTATTAATAAAATGAGAATTATTAGAAATACTTATTTTCCAGGGAGAGTGTACACAAACTCCTTATTTTATAGATCCAACATACCAAGTGCAATTCCTTAATATTTGTCAATTGTTAAACTCTACTCATCCTAATAGAAGATCTCCTGTCAGTTCATATTAAATAAACAGCATTGTTTGTTTTGGGATCATGTCTTTAATGATCCACTAGAACCTCTGGTGCATTTAATCATCCTTACTTTGAATTTATCAGCATAATTACATCCTCCACATGATCCTCTGATGCCAATAGCACAGGAAGTCATATAATGAAAGTAAAAGTTTACAAAAAAAATCTAAAATTAAGCCATAATCTACATGGTTTCCTTTTCCGCCTCCTTTCCTAGTACATAGTATGTTCAGCAGCCATTAATTGTACATACAAACCAAAATAATAATGTGATGAAATAATGTTAGTTAATAGCACATTTGGCATGATCATTAGAATAGGATAAGCAGTGGAGTTCAGAATACAGATGCTAAAGTCTTAGAACAGTTTTGTAATGTTGAGGTAAAAACCTACTGAATACTCCAGAAGGAGATTGAGTTGCCCCAGCTAGCTAGCACCTAGAGATTTAAATCTGTTTGTTTTTGCCTGTATTTTCTGGTCAACAAGAGCCATGTCTCTATTAGAAAGTTGTCTAACAGGGTTAGAAAATCCATGAAATTCCCTTTTAATGTTCTGATGGCTAAAGTATAACTAGTCTGCATCCTTTTAGAGGCTATGGTTCAAGAAAACAAACTTTTAACCGCCTTGGAATCCTAAGTCCCTCAGTTTTTCCAATTCCAAAACTCTTTTGTTTTCCCATACAAATTAGTAGGAAGGGGTAAAGCAAAGGAAAAAAATTAAGCCCAAAGGACAATATTATCTTCTTTCCTCTGCCTACCTGCATTCCTGGTCTTTTATACTTGTAAGTAGCTGACAAACGTCAGCTTTGAGTCCATCCTGCAAGATGGAGAAAAAAAGAACTTCAAAAGAATTTCTAAACCAATCCTTTTAATCAACTTTTGAATTACCTCTATTCCTGCAAAATAACTTTGTGCACTTAAAATTTTATAGGGAGACTCCTAGAAAAATGTTGGAATAAGAAGTAGGTAATCTATGGTGCATCTCCCTCTCTATTGTTCAGTCTTTTTCAGTCATGTCTGATTCTATGTGACCCCATTTGGGGTTTTCTTGGCAAAGATACTGGAGTGATTTGCCATTTCCTTCCCCAGCTTATTTTATAAATGAGAATACTGAGGTAAACAAGGTTAAGTGACTTGCCCAGGATCATATAGCTAGTAAGTTCTGGATTTGAACTCAGGAAGATGAGTCTTCCTAACTCTAAGCTTAGCATTCTATCCATTGCACCTTCTAGCTGCCCATCTCACCCTCTACTGCCCAAATAAACCACAAAAATGCCCCAAACTGGAACAAATACAATGACAAGAAAAGAGAAATTAAAAGAATATATTACAAAATAGTTCCTAACAGAAAAAAATTACTGAAATCTACCCCATCATCCGCTGTAACCATCTTTGTACACATAGACAGTGCCCTGACCCACTGGCAAAGGATATCCCCAAATGTTTTATTACACCTACAGATTTAGGCCCTAAATTTGTAGTGTCAATGTCCCATAAAGGTCATTCCTCCCAGTGCTGGTTGAAGCCTATGAATCAGACCAAACCTAATACTCCAGGTAAAGGAAAAAAGAGGCAACTATGGAAGACTGGAGCTGGAATAGAAGAATGCTGGGGGTTAAGAGGTCTGATAGTCAAACCAGAGAGTTGAGAAAGAACTGTGGACCAATTTTACTAATGAATATTGATGCAAAAATTTTAAATAAACTCTTCAGAAGCAGACTAGGTAACATATTCAGAAAATAATTTACTGTGTCCAAGTTAGACATAATAGTGATATAAGGATGATTCAACAATAGGAAAGCAACTAATATAATTAATCATATAAAAAACTATGATTATTTTAACAGATGAAAGAAAAGGCTTTGACAAAATATATCCATTTATGTTTAAAAAAAAAACACCTTAATTAGAAGCATAGACATGGAAGGGCTCTTTTTTTTCTTTTTTTTTTACATTTTTATTTCTTTTTTAGGCAACTGGGGTTAAGTGACTTGCCCAGGGTCACACAGCTAGTAAGTGTCAAGTGTTTGGTCTGAGGCCGGATTTGAACTCAGGTCCTCCTGACTTCAGGGCTGGTGCTCTATCCACTGCGCCACTGAGCTGCCTCAGAAGGGCTCTTTTTTAATATGATCAAAAGTGTATATCTAAAACCAATAGATGGCATTATTTGCAATGGAGAAAGACT